TAATATACATATGTATGTTTTATATATATTTCTTTAAAAACTATGGACATTAGGCATTATTCCATAAATCCTATATTTTATTTTTACTTTTTGGAATAGATTTTCTCCACACTTCATTTTTGTCTGCTTAAAAAACAGTCAAGCAGTTCCCAGATACGTATACATACATATCTATCTATCATATGTACGTATATGTATGTCTGCCTACCATCATCTAATAACATTGTTCGTTTATCTGTCCCTTATCAAATTATGGTTAGATATTTGCTCTGTTTTTTACCCTCCGGCAATTACGTGAGTAAAAGGCAACTTTTGCGTCAATAATGCGTTTCCATTTAATTTTTTGTTCCCGCTTCTTCTTCTTCTTCTTCTTTTCTTATCACGCAACATAAACAAATAAAAATATTGTTAGATATATACACGTGCATATATATAAATCATTTGAGCTGAAAGGCAAATAGTAAAAAGTTTCAAAGTGATTTCATCTCTGGTTTTCTTCATGAATGTTTTTTTTTTCAGTTCTTGTTTTGTTTTTTCATTAGCCATTTACATCTCGTCTGCTATCTCTTTCCCTCCGGCTAATTAGCTTGTCGTATGCATATGTCTGCCTGTTATCGTTATCGCACTAATCGATACTTATCGCTGCAAGGACAACGAGCGCTTGAAATTGAAAAGTTGAATCAAGCATGAAAAAGGCATAAAATTAGATTTTCTTGAATTGATTGAAGTTACTGTAATTTATGTATACCTATATATGTATATTCCGATGTGTGTATGTATGCATAGCTCTTCCCTTACCTTGAAGTAATTCATCATATACTGTATATATCTAATTGCTGGTAAATCTATCTAATTTATTCAGATCATTTACTTTTCCTATATTTTTTCTTTTTTTCCTTTTTCAATCCGAATTTTTATCTTAAAGTTTTGCCCAAGGCTCTAGAAATATCCATGAATATCCTTTGCTCACTCTCCCTCCTTATCTCTGTCTTACACACTCTCTCTCAGTTCCCCTATCTATCTCTCTCTTGCCGTGCCTACCTTTTATATTGCCTTTATTTCCCAGGCTTATCAAAACTAAAACATAATTTGCATTCATAATTTCTTTTGCCTCAAATCAAATCAAATCAAATTGTATTATTGCTTAAGCTAAATGACATAATTATTAAAGCGCACAGTATATACACACGCACATGCATACATACATACGTACACATACGTACACACACACATACATAGCCTCTCTGACAACCGCAAAGGAGCAGACTGCAGACAGTTTCTTGCCGCTTGATAACCTTCAGAATTCGTTTGCTTAAGACCAATGACAATGACATGCATACACACACACACACACATCCACAAGTATAGGTTTGTACATGAATGTGTGCGAAGACGGCCGGCAAATGTCAGCGCAATGTAGGCAAGGGGATAGCAAGCACATGTGAAAAATTGCACGTGCAACGCTGAGAGCGAGCGCGAGCGCAGGCGTAAGCAACGCTCAAAATAACCACAAACAAAAAAGACAGAAAAGTCCCTTTTCGTCGTCTGTGATGCTCATTTCCCCTGTCACCAAAAAATTGCCCCTATTTGGGCACAAAATTTGCGGCGAATTTCTGGCTGGCCAACCCCGCTTGCAGGTGAGAGCAACAGCCAAAAGGCAGTATTACAGATGCGACAGAGAGAGGGAGATAGACACAAAGAGAGAGAGAAAGTGCGCATGCGCTTAAATGGGATGCTAAAACACAAAACTGACAGCTGCATTTTATGCTAACGGTAAATAGATATATATACATACATATATAGATAGAGAGAGAGAAAAAGAGAGAGAGAGAGAGCGTGAAAGACAGAGATATGCTAAGCATCTGTATATACATACATACACACACACACAGCTGGCTTGCAATACCGTTAAAATTAGCGGTATTGTTAGTGTGTAGCTTTTAGTTTGTTGTTTTTTCTGCATTCGTTTTATTTGGACTTTTTGTGTAATGTGAAAAATGGTTCATGCCCTTTTTTAGGCACAACTCAAATGGTTTTCACTTTTTATGTAGCATTTGCAGAGAGATAGGGAGAGGGATGTAGTCTAGAGACCATATGGACAATTGATCAAAGTGCCATTATATTCGTGCTCCACATTTGGCAACCAAGCCCCTCCACTTGAGCATCGCTTTAGTTATCATTCACTCAACCGCAACTCAATTGTGAGTCAAACAGTTGAACTGAGCTTCAACTGTCTATCATTAGCTCTATTCATTCAGTAAATGCTCCGATGTAGGGGCGGGGCGGGGCGGTTCGGTTGCTGAGAGTTGCAAAATGTAAATCAGAACAAAAGAGTCCGATTGATGCATCAAACGTGCTATAACCATATTTGGCATTGCATTTTGGTAAGCTGCTCTTTCTAAGCGCGAGAGCGCTCATTATAGAGAGAGGCAGAGAGAGAGAGAAAGAGAGCGCGAGCATTAGTGTGGGCGCATGCGCATTAGCCACGCTCAGCGGCCAGTCCAGCATGCAAACACACACACATACAGTGACGTGTGCCAGCATAGTTAGCCGCTCCGTCAAACACATGCACATTTGTATGTACACACACACGCACCCGCATGTAGAGACCAGACCGGAAAACGCTCAAAAGGCAAGAAAAATAATACAAATGAATTTGAACTTGAACTTACCGCGCCCTGCGCTCTATGGCTCTATCTATGCGTGTCTATATACATACATACTTATGTATGTATATACATATATTTTATTTTTCTGTTTTGTGCGTGGGTGTGAGCGCAGGTTACCAAAGCGCCGGAAAATACACACCCATTTATGTATGTATGTGCACAACAGGCATTTAAAGTATATTTTTATATATGTGTGTACATATTTATATACATTTTTATACATACATACTACATATTGAATCATGTACATAAGCGCGTCGTCATCCTCAGCTAAATCGTTGTCCCCTGTCATGTCCATTTTAAGTTGTTCATTATTGTATAATAAACAAACAAGCACACATACATATGTATGTATATACACTCTCGCACACACCCACGCATGCACATATTCCTGCATATTTTATTTTATGCAAATCGATTATATACGGACATTGCCGTCTACCTGCCGCCGGCACATCCTAACACACGCACTCCACTTCTTTCTCCACACCTCTCTGTCACCCACAAGCTGCTGGACTCTCTTGCGTCTCGTCTGACTTATGGGAGTCGCGCAGCGTCTGCTGTCCCTATGCCAGTTGAATATTAACGATTTTCACAATGTGAATGTAATTTTTGCCGGTCTTCAACTCAAACACACATACATGCATGCATGTATGCAGCTTTTCCCTTTTTATTTTGTGAGTACTGTGAACGTGTTTGGCCTCTTTAATGCGCCTCCATTTCCGCAGTGAGCGTCTCTTTGATCAGCGCCCATACACACACACGCGCACGTACGAATTTGTATGGGTATTCAAGTGAGCTTCCTGCGAGAGCGCTGATCATAAATCTGCAGCCCATACACACTCACACACCACAGCTTAAGAACTAGAAAGCTTCCTCTCTCTGCCTGCCTTTCGCGGCAATAGCTTTGAAAGCAGCTTGACTCTCTTAATGTTTTGAATGTTTGGTATTTTCTTAGGCGCAGCAATATTTGAGCCCAGACGGTTTTATTTTTGCAGCAATTTCGTATTTTTTGATAAGCAGCTTAACAGTTTAGCGATATGAAAACACCTGCGTACTTGGAAATACTTGCTTATGAATACTAAAGCCATAGACTATACAAACACACATATATACATATTTACATACMCATAAGTATGTATGTATGTACACATTGTTTCCAGCTAATCTGTTGTGTGGCCAATTCCATAAAATAAAACGTATGAAAAATAGCAATTCCTTTTATGACTCACAATATGCTGGCTAATGTACGAGTGTGCATATTTATGAATGCATATGTATGCACATGTGGGTAGGTGTGTGCGTATGTGGTTTTTGCAGTGACAGCGACGTCCCTCCACTCATGCCACTCTCTCTTCCTGACAAACACCCTCATATTGCAGCAATTGCCCCTCTACTTTACGTTACCCTTTGCCGATGCAGTTTGTTGCGTTTTTTTTTTTTTTTTCATTTCATTATTCTTCTTCGTTTTACTTTTCTTTTCTTTTTTTTTTTTGGGCAGCAACGGAAGCACTTCCCAGACTCAGACTCAGTACCCAGCCCAGAGCCGGCGCCACGCCCTTTCGAACTGCCATAAATTAACACGCCGGGGCCAAGGCCCCATATGACAAAACCAAATGATGCGACATGCTCTTGAGCTTCGCTCTTACTCACTCGCTCGTTCACTCGCTCTCTCTTCCTGTCTCGTCTTCATCGAGTGCATCAAAGAGTTGCGTTGAGCCAATCGACTCAGTTGCTCTTTGTTTCATTCTTCTTCTTTGCCTGCATGTGCCAATAGACGCGCCTAAAAGCGAGCGAGCCTCGAATTTATCAGCGCCAAAGAAGCAACAAGAAGAAAGCGCAGCTTGCGTCGCACAAGTCGCTGTAGAAATACCCTTTCAAGAGTTATACATATGCATATGTAGATTAAGTGTGTGTAAGTGTCAAGTGGTTTATTGATTTCCATGTATGCATGTGTGTGAGCGTGTACATGTTCATGTTATTTATGTGTATGTGTATTCAACATGCTCCGTATAAGTATGCTTATGTTAGGGTATGACAGAGTAAAGTAGCTGATGTTGCTTTAATGTTTCAATTCCTTTCGACTCGCTCCACTTGAGTTTGTTATTTAAAGGCTTGATGGCAGGCATTTATTATCTATATATGTATGTACATATATACTTGCATATATGTATATATTTATTTATTTATTCCCATATATCATACTTATATGATATTTTAATGTTCTCTCGCTTGAATCCAGCCGAAAAGTCGAAGAACGCGCCCATATTTGCGATAATACATATTTCAGTTTTGCCTGATTACTCATATATGTATGTATGTACATACATACTCACACACACACATACTCACATAGTGCATTACTCTGTGGCCTGCATTATTCATTGATGATTCGCCTTTGGCAACAGCTGATTATCGCCTAACCAAGCCACCCTCTCGCCCATTGCGATTGTGGTGGTACTGGTGGTGCTGGTGGTACTGGTGGTACTGGTGGTGCTGCTGCTCCTTTGTTGGTGGTTGTTTGGTGCGACGCCCACGATATCGAGTCGCTTGCATGTTGCCTGTTGTGTGTTAGCCCAGGCCCAATTCGAGCCGCTGCACGCACAGGGTGTGCATTGCGCGGCGCGGCGCGGCCTCAACCCTCAGACAAGCCCAGGCCGAAAGACAACAGCAGCGTGGCAATGAGGCGGGTATGCGCGACTTCTAAATGCCCTGCTTGAAATAGTCACACTGAAATGCTCCAATTGCGACTTGGTTAGCTTTATATGCAGGAGCTTCCTACCTCCTCTTTCTCCTGCTCCTCCCTCTCCTCCTTCTTCTCATCCTGTTACATACGCATACACCTAGCCCATATACCCTTTTGCCCAGCTTTTCAATGGGTTTATTCAAAAAAAAAAAAAAAAGATCGGCTCAAGGTTGCGGCGACCCTTCCAACTGTCGTTACCCAGCGCAACCACCCTAAGCAGCCTGTGTGCGTGTGTGCCGTGCCTACGCCTAGGTAGGGTAGGGTGGTTCACCCCTATACCATATGTGCATGTGCCATAACAATTGGGCGGCTGGGATGAGGCAAACGTTCTTATTTCTTCCTTTTGCCAAAACTCGCCAAAAATTACCCAAAAATAATATCTGTGAATTCCACGCGGGTCGCAGCATGCTAGACCATGAAATACCCTGTAACGTGACAATATTTGATATTTATATAAATA